AACCAACTTTAATTTAATTTACCAACTTAAATTTGCTTATATTTCAGATTGTCAAGAGACTAATGAAAGCGAGTTCATTTACATAGTTTCATGGAATTTCTCAAGAATAAGTGAGCTATACCCCTCACTTATTCTTGCCACCTATTACCATAAACAATACTGAATAATGATAACAGTAACTACCCGTGATCAAATTTGTTCTGTGTGTGGTAACCAGAAACGAGGGTAAGGCAGGATTTGGTCACCTCCTTGCTTGTTGTGCTTCCACTGAGCTTGGCTGGCCTCTATAATGTCTTACATTTGTGCCTGCAGTCATGGGTAAGATTCATGTTCAGGCTTCCAATAACTCCTTCATGCCCAGTGCTTCTCACTCAGTGTTCCTATGGGGCTCAAGTTTTCATGAGTTGTGGAGAGAGAACATCCAACTGTAATGTTGAATAATAATTGCCTTTACCCTGTTTGCAGAGGGAAAAAAAGTTGGTGGATAACATTTTCTCAATTCAAATTGTTCTCCAGTAATTTTTTACAAGTCTTTGGCTCCAGACACCACGTTTCTGCTAAAGGTTGCCAGAAGATGACGGAAGAAAATGAAATTGGAAATTCAAATCAATAAGAAAATTCAAAACCAATTATTTGTTCTTTGTTCAACAGTTTGTTGGGTGTTTTATTTTGTTTTAAGACATGTGAGCTGTTGATTGTGAGTTTATATGATGTACAAATAATATAAGATAGGTTTCTTTTTGCTAGTAAAAATATAGAAAAATAGTGTATAAATGAAATAAAAATATATTGATTTGTATTTTTAAAATGTTTTACAAAGAACATGGTATTCCGCAAATAAGATCACATGTTCTGGTATTCCGCAAATAAGATCACATGTCTGAAGTTTCAAACCATGTTTGACACTTAGTATCACATATGCAGATCTAAGGTCTTAGTTTTGTGTCATAATAGAATTTTTGATTGGAAAGTCCCATGAAGATATTTGGACAAACTATCTGAAACTTGAACCTCCCAATAAATGGTCTTTTTTTTCTCTTTGTGAACACCTCCAGTAGGACCTTAATGAGACTCTGAATTCAAAGTAAAATAAGAACTTCTATGTTCGAGGCTGTGTTATTTACATATGGATCTGTGTGAAGGAAATGAGTCACCCAGTACATTTTTATACTAACAAGATGCTTTACAATAGGAATTTATACTATATTTATGTGAGTGCAAATGCGAAACTATATCCTATGAGTATAAACTCTTCGAACCTTAGATAGTAGAACATGTCATGTTTTAAGTTGTAATCCTCAACTACATGTTACTCAATTCAAGAATTCCCACCCATGGCCTGAGAGGGAAAGAAAACTCTATATATACAGCCTTCATTCACACAAGACATTTTATTTATGTTACCGATTTAATAAAATCCACTAGTGTGCAAATGTTCTCTATATGTGGAAACAGAGGACTAGAATACAAAAAGCGAGTTCTTTGTGTTTTTTAGCTCTTTAAAAATTATGTAATCATAATGTTTTACCTGCTTTTTAATAAATTGCTAAATATGATATTTTGCCACTTATATTTTTTTCTTAATCAAAGTAAAGGATCACAATATAAAGCTCAGTTTTCATAATCCTGTTTTACCCTATGTCTACGCTGATGGGCTTTAATTTCTCATACAAAATTTTGGTGTTTTCCCAACAGAGGATAAGTCCAAACAGAAAATTAACACAGGGTTCAGAAGCTGGGGGAGAGAGTGATTTGAGACCAGAGTAAAGGGAAATATCAGGACAAAGCTGGTTCAGTAATAGATAAGTGGTTAAGTGGTTACCATAGAAGGAATTAGGAAGCTACTGGACAGGTATTACAGCAGAGAAACAGAGGACAGTGAAGAGGTTTTTGTATGAATGTTAGACCAAATCCTGGCTCTACTGGCCACATAACCTTAGAAGAGGTATTTATCCCTGTGAAATTACACTTCCTCATCTGAGAAAATCAGGAAATTCCCATGTTCCAGAGCCACGCTGAAACAATTTGTGTAAAGACTATTGCAACCCAAAAGCACTGTTTCTGCCTTTCCCTATCAGCTCTTGCTTGACCCTATCTTTCCTGAGCTAGAGACAACTGTAATAATGATGTTATCAATGTTTGAAATGTAAACATCCCCAAATGATTCTCCCTTTCTTAGCTTTTTACTATGGAGAATTTCAAACATCTACAGAGAAAAATAGACATCATGTATTATAAACCTCCATGTACCCATTACTTGGCTTCAACAATTACAAGTCACAGCCCATCTTTTTTCATCTATATTCACTCCCTACCCTCTGTATTATTTTGAAGCAAATCCATACATCATATTATTTTATCTATAAATGTTTCAGTGTGTATCTCTAAATAAAATGCCATAAGACACCTAAAATATATAACAGCTGTTCCTAAAATATTGAGTGTGCTTAAATTTCTGTCATAAATTTTTTACAGTTTACTTGAATTAGAGTATATCCACAAATTACAAAGGGTGTCTTTTAAATCTCTTAGTCTATTAGCTAACGTGCTATTCTGTTCTCTGCATATATGTAAATTAGAGGATTTATCAGATCCGGGTTTTGTTGTCGTTGTTGTTGTTGTTGTTGTTGTTGTTGTTACTATTATTATCTGTTATGTAAGTTATATCAACCACATGAATACACCAAGTGGTATTGTCATTGACAATGTAATTTTTCCAAACTGATGAACGACTCTTGGAAAAGACTTGAACAAACCAATATATAATCTTGTAAACAACGTAAACGGTAAGTAGTTACCTCCTGGAAATTTTAGTATATGTCAAAAGTGTGCAAAAATATTTTGTATTTATATGTAATCTAGAGTTAGGTTTTAGCTCCAGGTAATTATAAACTATTTCTCGTCTGCATGAATCTCTGGCAAATCATGTGACACATGGGGAAATTCTTTGCAAAGTAAAATTATTTGCCACATCGCAGAAATCTAGCCTCCGGCTCCTGTCCACTAAATGCCAGTAGCCCCCCAGCAAATCCTTACGACTACTATTATTGTCACCTCGTATTTAGAAAACTCCTCCTATGGTTCACTTCATCCCCCTGTTGAAAACCACTGGCTAAGTTCAAGCAATAGGAAAAGAGGAAATTGGTTTTAGTTGCTTATATGCTATAATTTTGTGAAAAGGAATAAGGAAAATATCCTGTATGAGCAATGGCTATTGAAACATTTGCAAATTTAAAGCTTTCTAGAGTTTTTCTCAGTTGACAGAATTTTGTTTCTCCAAACTATGTTGGAAAATGTGAACAGGCTCTATGATAAAACAAGTATGGTCATAATGATTTCTTGCTAATACATGTAGTTCGAGTACAGAAATTTTAATATCTAGCAAATCATTTATACAGGCAAAGTTAAAGAAACTGGCAAAGTGGCAAGAAATAATAAAGCCATTTTTCATTCTTTTTTAAGCAAAAGTATAAATTTATAAATCTCCTTATGTTGCATTTGTATAATTGGCCCATAACACTCATAGGAAATTGTGCTTCATCTCTGAGACGGAGAAAATAGTCAAATGTTTACCATCTTCTGGCTTACTGGCCTTACTTACACTTACTTTGTTCAACATCCTTTTTTTCAAATACTATTCATAATTCTAATATGGAAGTCATTTTTTTAAATCTAAATTGGAAGATGTTTTATCACTATTACTTGAAGTGAAAATCGTTTAATCATAGTACCTTGTCGTTTTCAGGTACATAGTAGATGTTCATTTAAATATTTTAAAAATTAACTTATACAGTAATTCTCATTAATATATCGTATCATTGTATATAATCATGTACTTTCATATGTGTTAATTTTATTCTTATACCCTTATTATCATGAAACATTAAGTGTGGATCTTTTTACTCAAAGTAGAATCTGGGGGTGGCTCCATAGTATAGTGGTTAGCACGTCTGGTTTACAGGCAGAAGGTCCTGGGTTCTCACCACAGGTGGAGCCACAGACCAGGCCCCGGATGTGCCAGGCCCCCTGAATGTGCAGGGGGTGCCAGGCCTGGGGGGTCGGGGGGAGCAGGCCCCGAGAGCACATGTCAAAGGAGATGCCCACCATCAGAGATTCAGTTCTTAAGGGGAAATAGCAACATCCATAAGTCAGGGGTGGAAGGTGGAGGAGGGGGCGGAATCAAAGGGGCGAGGGAGGGGGGAGGTAGAATCTGAATTGATTTCTTCTAAATCATACTGCTGTCATAGATAAGAGAAAAATTTAGGTCTCTTGGCTTTGATTTCAATATTTCTACCAGTAGGTTTCTTTTTGCCTTTACAAGTAATAATGTTTTCTGTTCCTGCTCCATGTATTCAAAGAATATTTGTCAAAACAAAACAAAAAAATACAAAGGTTTTTAAAATAAACATTTTAAAACAGTGATTAACTCCTCAGTATTTATTACATACTAGCCTTGACCCTGAGAAATCCAAAATAGGACCAACATTTTGGTGACAAAGTTTGTGTGCTGGGAGATACAGCTCTCCTAAAATCAAGTTATCTTATATAATGTCTGCTTACTGCAAAGCAGGTGCAGCACCAACATAATAACTGTTCAGAGACTGGAACTTTGTAACTATGGAGACATTATCTCACAGTGTTCTATTGGGCAGTGTTGCCCTGATGTAAAAACTGTAGTAGTAAAGATAGCTATTATGGGTTACCGCCCTTCCTCTTGAGTTGCTTCCAGTGAATGTGTCACCCCTTCACCTTCATTTGTCTAATATCCTTAGCCAGTATCAGTATTGGCTATGTCAGGCCTCTCATATTCCCATTAGAATCCTGGTCCCGACACCAGCTTGGTAAAGAAATCATTAAATCTGAAAGGTGCTTTAAGGTAATTAGATTAACAGGTGAGGTCACTTGAAAAAGAAAATCTCGCTTGAACCTCAGCTATATTCATTGCCTAATGTCATGATCTGTTTTACCAGGAAAGAAAAGAGACTTCTCTTCTAGCCAAGATGAAAGACACATAAGCCATTCTGGAAACTTCAGGGACCCTTCAGAGTGAAGTCCATGAGCAGAAAGATAAAATGAAGAAACAAGCACAGTAAGAATGGCTCAAATGAGAGGACATTTGTGTTTTAGAAGATAATGATGGAGTACTTGACTTCTTGTTTCAAAACATCTAATGAAGTAGTTAGAACAACAATTGATTCCACACATTTTCTAAAATTAATTAATTATAACATACAACTATTTCACCAACCACTGTTTTATAAGGTTCAGTCCTTTAGTAATATAAAAATGTTCCTAGACAGATCTTCATCTCTGGTTGAGAGTCCAAAGCTAATGTCTAACATGTTAAGGCAATTGGCAGATAATTTCTTTAGAACTACTTTACTGAGCTCAGGACAGAGAATTGCTAGAGAATTTTTGTTTTGGAAATGTCTGTGAGTATGTTAAATAAAAGCTACAACTCCCTGTTTATACTACTAATGTAAACCATCTATCAACTAAAGAAGTAGCATTGGTTTTCCAATGTTTTCTAAAAAGAAAAAATGACCTATAGTATTGAATTTACACAACTTAAAGCTAATGTTACTCTGAACTTAGATGTCCTGCATTTACTGTTCAGTTTGTCCATTTTTTAAAATATTTGTTTTAGAGGTCATCTGAGAGATGATCGTTGTCATTATTACCAATTCAGCATCTTCCAAAATAACACTGAAATGCTGGAATTGCCCTTTTATAACTGCCTCTGGTTTAGTGCTAATCAATTACAGAGGGAGCAAAATACCAAGAAGGAGCTTGGAAAATACCATATGCTAACGGGAAAGCTAACCAAGCACTAGGTCAAACCTCTCATCTTCCAAAAGGAATCTAATAGGTTTGTGAGTGCAGGGTTTTCAGACAATGGGCTGCCTCACACACATCTCTTCCTGAAATATTTCAGCTCTTCCAAAGGTGCATGCAGCCATTAGAAGTTTCTTATTCAAATACAAAAATAAGAACACCCCACGGCCCTAGGCCAGACTTCTTTGATTGCTACATTTGCAAAGGCTTATTGGGAATTTTTTGTGGAATTAAGTTTATTTGGAAACGCTATTGTTTTACTGGAGGAAGAAAAAAAAATTAGGGCTTATGAAATGAACATGCTGGAAAGATATAACCAGTTTATTTGTAATGAAACCCAGATGTAAGGAACTTTGAACGAAAAAAAGTACTTTCCTGCTTATTCTAGCCAGTATTGAGGAGAAATCATGTCATGTGAGCCTGTCTCAGGTTGAACAGAGATGAAATATTTGTAATTTGCCAATCGATCTCTGTAGTCTCCTTCCCACTACCACAACAGTCATCCTCAAGTGTATCTTCATGAGTTAGAGCTTTTCTGACAAAGATGAGTGCTTGGGGTATCAGCAGCATGGCAAGTGCTCAGGCTTAATAATAAGTACTGGGCTAATAATGCAATTTTCAAAGCCTATGCCATTTAATTATAAAAAAATAATTTGCCTGAGATTTCTATGCCTTCTGCAAGGTACATTTAGAGAAGTCTGATTTTGAGTACAAAGCTGATGAAGGAACTTATAAAATGTAGAACAAAATGATTGTGACTACCTCTTGGTAAACAGAGAGAGTGAAACTGACATCAGCAACATGGCAGATTAGGAAGCTCCAGACGCTGTTCCCTTGTGGGAATGTTTGAGAAAAAAAAAACAAAACAAAACAAAAAAACAAAAAAAAAAAACACAAGACTGGCTAAAATAACTTTCTAGGAACTCTGGAAAACAAAGAGATCAAAATAGAGACGACCCATGGAGGTAAAAAACTTAGCTCTTGAATTGCAGTGGATATGTGTCCCCCAGAAAGGAGGTGCTTGAACTGCTGGCCGTTCATTCAGTTTTTCAGAAAGCTAAAAAGTTTTGGACCTCAGAACTTTGTTCACAATTCAAGCATTAAACATTCACATGCACGCTCGCACACACAGGCATGCTGATTGCTTTTCATTTACTGAGAAGAGTGTGACTCATAAAACATAGTTGTCATAAGGCTTTTCATGAGCCATGCCATGAGAATATTGTTTTACTTGTAAAATAATTATACTGTAGTTTAGAGACTTTGTTTAAATGACTGTGCACTAGTTAACAAATGCTTCTATATTTATAAAAAAAGAAAGAGAAATCTTTGTTCATAGGAAGATTTACTTATAAAAATAGTACCTGGAAATTAAGTCTTTTTTCTCCCTCATTTCTGCCATTCTCTTCAACATTCACACACACACACATACACACATATGTATACATGTGTACTGTTTATAGTTATTAATTTGCAGAGTCTATTTAAAAGTAGACATTAACACTAGAATCTTTATAAATATAGGAAAATTAGTTCAGCAGCAGGAGTTAAAGGAAATTATAATAGAAATTCCAATTTTATGTTAATTGAAAGAAGAAATATGATATAATGAATGATAAAAGTAAGGTATAAATGGTTTATAGAGTCTCAGTTTTGCATAAAAAAAAATGCATTTAAAAGCCTGAAAGAAAATGGTGATATTTTGGTTGATTTTTATTTTCTTCTTTCTACTTTTATACTTTTTCAAAACCATCTACAGTAGGAATTTACTGATTTTTAAGTAGAAAATAGGAATAAAGCATGTCTTGACTTGATACTAAAGTGTTTAGATTATTAAAACTAGAAATATAAAATGTTTTTGTGCTTATGTCAGATGCATAGTATCTTTGAAAAGCAGAACTCTGGATAATAATGATAGTTCATGCTTCATGTCATAGTCTATTCATTTTGACTTTCTCTAATTTATTAAAATTTATTAATTTTTTCGTACACAGAAGAGAAGGTACACATGTCGACCTCCAAAGGACACAGACATCTTTAGTACATTTTTTTCCAACTGAAGCAGATTCAAATATCACAATACTGCCATTGTCACGGTTTTTATCCTATGAAACTCCTCTCAGTTACAATCTGTCTAGCCCTCAGATTAGTGGAGTAAGTGTACTTACATCAACAACTGCGTTAAAGTCTCCAAAATCAACTATAGTGAACCATTGCCAGTTAGAAAGCAACTTAGGTAAGCAAAACACGCACCAAATTTTTTAGACTATTTTTAAAGTGTATATGTGTTTAGATGCCAGAATAATGTTTTATTATTTGTCTCTAATAGTAATAATTTCTTAATGTCCTATGCAGAGTAACATGACTACGCTCACTATTGGTCCTTGCACTGGAGTCATATTCCAGTCATAAAAATATATGTGGCCAAATATATCATCCTCGTGATTAAAAAATCTTGAGTTTTCATAATGGTTCATGGGTTGACTGCTTAGATGTTCTGGAATTACTAGATAACTTAAAGTTCTAATGTATGACAGTAACTTCCCTTCCTCTGAATGCTAACAGAAAGGTCAAGCAATGTCTTGTGTAGTTTGTGCCTTTAGGAGATTTAGGGCTTTGGTGAGGGAAAGACAAATAGATAAAAGAAGAAAAATGGAGCGGGTAAAATGGCTGAGAGAAAAGAGAGAAACAATAAAAAATTTGAAGGAGAGGAAAACAAAAGCAGTAGTATAGTAGGAAGAAGTAAAGTTTTGGCAGTTGCCAACAATGCTCTCAGCAACACCCATGCTGCTGAGTTTTTATTCCTCATCTATCAACTAAAGTTTAGGAAACTTTGAGGGTATGTTATAGTTTACTGAAATGAATACTGTCCTTGGAAACAAAGAACCTGGGTCCAAACTACCTTTCTGCTCCCTGCAATATGAGATGTTAGGTAAGGTATTTTAGCATCTCTGAGTCCCATTTTCTGTAAGTGCAAAATGGGGATTAAAATACCAATTTCACAGGGCTATTCTAAAGATTAAACATTTATGAAAATCACCTAGCACATAGTAAATACTCAATAAAAATTAGTTATGAATCTGAACATATCTGTAAGCACTTTCTCATAGAATAGGCTACATTTGGATTTATATTTCAATTACCAGTCAACTATCAAGTCTCAAAACCGGTAGCACAAACACACTCTTTACCATTTGATACCTCCATTTTCCTCTACCATCCTGTGGACTTATACAGCCTGGCTGCTTCTTATTTCTATTTGATTTTGTTCCCGAAGCCTTTGACACAATGTTATATAGGATTTTGACCTACTGCTATTATTGTCATTTTCCCTGTGCATTATTGTTTGCATGCCTAAGACACTCTTTTCAAAGAAACCTCCTAAGTTCATGCCGACATTTAGCAATGACCAAATCTATATGCTTAAAAGTGAAAATACAGATTTTACATCTAGAGAGGGGATATTTTCCATCCTTTGGCACTGTGTTATTATGGCACATGTTCTATATTTGGGTTAAACTGAAAGCTTCTAGTATTAGTGAAAAAAAAAAAAATAGAATGGCTTCCCCTTGCAAGATGAGAGTTCAGCTAGGATGTAGACTTCTCCTTCAGTTACTGTAGATTCTGCTTCTGTAGAAAGATATCTGAGTTTGCTGTGTTTATTTCCATCTTTTCCTCTAGATGAAATAACAACTGGGACTAAAATTGATGTGTCTACTTTCCTTTTAGGATACAAAGGTTTTCATCCCTCAGAATGATCTATTAAAAGAGCTGCACTATACATTCTCCTTCCCCAAAGTAATTTAAGAATTAAGTAAATACTTAACTGGGAATACACTAATTTAATTCCAAACATTTCTTCTAAGCAAAATATTTTGAGGAATCCTCTTTAGGAACTCTGAGTTTATTCTTTTTATCTTTCACCTCCCTTTGGTTTTATTAAAGTTACAAGAATATAAGGCAAACTCTAGATTGTGTTAATCTCTGATGGTTTTGGACCCAGGGTCACATCAACCAAAGCACCTATACTACAACAATAGCCATCATTTATTGAATACCTGCTAAATACCAGACACTGCTAGACACTTACCTACATTAGCTTCAACCTTTATATCACCTTATCAAAGTAGTATTATCCTTATTTTATGTTCAGGAAAACTGAGGATAGGCAAGTTTCAATCAGTTGGTTTAGTAAGTGACTGTCTAAACCTAAGACATATTACTCTATCCACTTCATCATGATGCCTCTTTGTAGTGTTACTCTCTCTTTGCAGATACATTATTATATTTATCCAGCAAGGTTCTTTCTGTGAAAAATAATTAAATCTATTTTGTGTTTGAATCTTAATAGTGAGAATTTTAAAGGAGCAGATTTCCAAAAAAATACTAGAATCTGTTTAAGCATTACTTTATCTTTCTAATAAAGTATTTTAGTTGATGAGAGGAAATTTAAGTCTTTACCTGGCAAAAGTATTAACCATTGATAGTAAAGGACTCATTTGAAGCTTTAATTTATGGGTAGTAATTTGGAGAGAATAGCTAATATGAAATAGAATAAAGCTGTATTTATATATAACAAATTGAAATTTGAATGACTCAAATGTTCTACCTATTCAAAAATGTGTATGCTTCTAGTACAACTATATAACCAGTTAAGTAGTCATTACACTGATAATATAATTGATAGTTTAAGGTAACTGAAATAATTTCTAGGAATTGAGTTATCACTAAAAATAATCAATTACTGGTTATTTTATAGACTTTGGTTTAAAGCTTTTAACTATCTTCTTCAGTTTGGCAATGACAGTAAACTATATAAAGAATATAGTTTTGTAGAGGCAAAGAATAACAATAGTGGCTTTGAGTTCTTTTAATGTCCTCTTATTTACTTCTCTTTCCGTTGCTTTCCTCTTTGATTTCTTTGAAAGGAGTCAGCAGATTCGTAAGTGAAAAGACTCTGTCGGTTCATGCTTTTGAGCCAGCTGTGACTGGAGAAGGGGAGGATTATTTCCAATCTTTGTTTGGTGATCCAAAGAAATTTCTTGCACAGTCATTCCAAACCGAGAAAGGCTGGAAGCACTTTTCTATGATTCTTAAAGAAGTGAGCCAATCTAGATCCAGGTACATATTCTATTTGAATTATTTAATATCTTCTATTGGGTTAGGAGCAATAAATCAGTAGGAAACAGTTCTAAGCTGTTGTGAGATCCATGATTTCATCTAAAATCTTAAGCAATTATTGAAATATAACTGTTTCATGTTCTGAGAGTTAAAAGGAATCGAGATAACTTTCTAAGAAACCACACAAGGAATGTTAATTCTTCACAGATGCCAGAGAAAACAGCACTACATAATCCCTATAAATAAAGTCAACCCAATTATTCAAGGACCTTTTTTATTATTGGCAAATTATCAGACAGACTTAGTATCTTTTTTCCTCCTACTAGGATCTGAAGTTCAAGATAGAAGGAGAAAGGTTGGACTTTTAACTCGATTCATTTTCATGGTATTAGTATCTATGGAAAAAATAATTGTTCAGGAAGAGAGTTGATATTAGAACTAAAAAGCTGACTCATCTATACATTTATGTTATCCTGCTTTTTTTGTTGTATGAACAACAGATAGAATTGTAAATTGTTAGTAATGAATACCTGTTGACATATAGGGTTACAAGAAATTGTTAGCCAGACTTGAAAATCAGACATAAAAGAAACTTTTTCTGCCTTAGGTCAGATTTTTAAAAATCAATCACTATTACCATCTAACTGTAGTGAATACCTAAGCATTCTTTCAACCATCTGAAAACTCTTAAATTATTTATTCAGTACCTACCATGTTAAATATGATGAATTTGGGGGGACAAAATTTCAAAAAAAACACAAAACTTATGAATGTGATTTTAAGAACTTCCATTGAGATCAGGGATGACTTGCAGGTAAGGATCAAGAGAGAGGCAAATAAAGTATCAAGGCATTCAAAGGAGAACTTTCTTTGAGCAGATGATCTGGAAAGATTTTGTGAAGGAGTTATTGCTTAGAATATTGTGAAGGGATAAGTTAATTTTGAATATGAAAATATATAGTCTGTGAGAGCATTCTAGCATATTAGTTCTCAATTCTACTTACATAAATCACCTGGGGAGCTGTTAATCTCCTGGCCCTACCCCAGACTTTGAGTCAGAATTTCTAGTGGTAGAATTGGGAACTAATTGTGTATGTGTCTTTTTAATCCCACGGTAATTCTAATGTACAGCATGGGCTTGGAACCACTAGCCTAGAGCAAAGAGCACGTAAACCAAGTGAAGGAGGCAGAAAAGCTAAGGTCAGGTACAAGGCATTTTAAAGCATGGCTACACTGAACAGTGCCCAAAGAGATATAATAAGGTTAGGGCCAGAGCTGGGGACAGATCATAGTCAGCCTTTAATATCAGACTGAGGAATTTGGACTTCACTATGGGAAGCAATGGGAAAGTTTCAAACAGAGATGTGACAGGATTGTGATTTAAAATATTTAATCTGTGGCAATGAATATTATAAATAATTGTCGGATTTTGTCAAATGCTTTTTACACATCTATTAAGATGATCATATGTTTGTTTTTTAATGTTAAAACAAACCTACACTCTTGGAATCAACCCCATTTGGTCATAATGTTTATCCTTTTAATATATAGTTGAATTCAGACTTTTACATCTATGTCTGTGAAGAATATTGGTCTGTAGTCTTCTTTTCCTGTAATGTCTTTGTCTGCTTTGGTATAAGGTAATGTTTGCTTCATAGAATGAATTGGATATATTCCCTCCTCTTTTATTTTCTAGAAGAGTTTGTTTAGAAATAATATTTTTTTTCCTTAAATGTTTTTATAGAATTTATCAGTAAAGCCATCTGGGCCTGGGGTTTCTTTGTGGGAAGGTTTTTACCTACAAGTTCTATTTCTTCAAAATAGATATCAGGATATTTTGGTTATTTATTTCCTCTTGAGTGAACTTGGATAATTTGTGTCTTTCAAGGAATTTGTTCATTTTATCTAAGTTGTCAGAAATATTGTCATGAAATCATTCATAATATTTCCTTGTTATCCTTTAGTATCTACAGAATCTGTGGTGATGTCACATTTCTTATTGCTGGTACTGATTATATGTGTCTCCTCCTTTTCCTGATCAATCTTGCATAAAAGTTATCAGTCTTCTTGAGCTTCTCAAACAACCAGTGTTTGGTTTCATTCATTTTTCTCTATTTTTGTTTTGTTTGGTTTTGTTTTCTATTTCATTGATTTCTATTCTGATCTGTATTCCCTTTTGCCTACTTTAGGTTTCATTTGCTTTTCTTTCTCTAGTTTCTCAAGGTGAAAGCTGAGCTCATTGATTTCGTACCTTTTTCTCTTCTCCTATAAGCATTTAGTACTATAAATTTTCCTCTAAGTAAAGTCTTAGTGGCATCCCTCAAATTTTGATATGTTGTATTTTCATTTTCATTCAGTTCAAATACTTTCTAATTTTCATTTTTATTTCTTTAATCCTCAAGTAATAAAAAGTGTATTATTTAGTTACCAAATATTTTATAGATTTCCCAGAATTATTTTCAATAATTCTCCAGATATCTTTTTCTTATTAGTCTCTAATTAAATTCCATAGTGGTCAAAGAACATAGTTTGTATGACTTAAGTCCTTTTAAATGTATCGAGACTTGTTTTATAACCAGGATATTGTCTATTCTAGTAAATGTTCTGGGTATACTTACAAAAAATATATATTCTGTTGTTGTTGTTGAGTAGAGTGTTTCATAAATGTCAATCAGTTCAAATTAGTTGATGGTATTAAATCTATTGTCTTTTTGCTGATTTTATGTCTATTATTTCTATCAATTATTGAGAAAGCATTGTTAAAATCTCTGACTGCTATTGTGTTGTTGATTTTTCCTTACAGTTCTATCGGTTTTTGCTTTGTAAGCTCTGTTATTTAGGTGCACAGACATTTAAGATTGTTATATCCTCTTGATGAATTAATCTCTATATCATTATGAAATGGTCTTTTTTATCCCTGGTATTACTCTTTGCTTGTAAATCTACTATATCTGACATTAGTATAGCCGCTCCAGCTTTCTTTTTACTGGTGTTAGCATGGTGAGTCTTTTTCTATTCTTTTACTTTCAACCTATTTGTGTCTTTATATTCAGAGTGCATGTTTTGTATATAGCATTTAGTTGGAACTTGCTCTTTTATCCAATCTAAAAATCTGTCTTTTAATTTGAGCATTTAAACCATTTACATTTAAAGTAATTTAATATGGTTAGGGTTAAGTCTACTATCTTACTATCTTGTTTTCTGTTTGTTCCAACTGCTCTGTTTTCTTTTCCCCCTTTTTCTGTCTTTTGAATTAATTCTTATTAATTTTATTTTATCTTCATTGCTGGCTCATTAGCTTTAATTCTGATATTTTAGTGGTTCCTTTCAGGTTTATAGGATACATCTTAAGTCTATCACAGACTACCTTCAAATGATATTATACCACTTCACATATAGTATAAGAGCCTTATAATACTATACTTTTATTTCTTTCTTCCCAGCTTTTGCATCACATATTTTACTTGTACATATGTTATAAACCCCATAATCCATAGTTGTTTTTGTTTAATCAACTTTCAAAAGAAATTTGAAGGATAAGAAAAATATCTTTTATATTTACCCTTATATTTTCACTGCTTTGCAGTACTTTTTTAGTGTTTTTGTTTTGTTTTGTTTTATTTTGTTTTTTTGTCTATAACTCATGTTTTCCTTCTTTAACATTTCTTGTAGTATGGATTTGCTTGTGAGGAATTATTCAGTTTTTTTTTTAACAGTTTTATTGAGATATCATTGATATAAAATTGTATATACTTAAGATGTACAACTTGATTTTTTCTTTTTTATTTTTTTAGAGATATAATTGTCATATAACATTGTGTAAGTTTAAAGTGTACAACATGATGATTCGATATGCATATGTATTATGAAGTGATTGCCATAGTAAGATTAGTTAACACATCCATTACCTCACATAATTACTCTTTTTTGTGTGTTATAAGAACATTTAAGACCTATTCTTTTAGCAATTTTTAAATATATAATACAGTATTGTTAACTATAATCAGCATGCTGTACATTAGATCCTCAAAACTTATTTATCTTACAACTGAAAGTTTGTATTCTTTGACCAACATCTCTCCCATTTCCTTTACCCTCCTTCCCATCCCTGTTAAACACCATTCTAATCTTTGGTTCTATGAATTCAGCTTTTTTAGATTCCACATGTAAGCGAGACAACCATACAGTATTCGTCTTTATCTGTCCGGTTTATTTCATTTAGCATAATACCCTCAAGGCCTACCCACATTATTACAAATGGATTTTCTTCATTTTTATGGCTGCATAATCTTCCAGTTTATATATTTATATAAAATGTATACCATGCTTTCTTTTTCATGTGTCAGTAGATACTTAGTTGGTTTCTATTTCTTGGCCATTGTGAATAATGCTATAATGAACATGATGGTGCAGATAGCTGTACAAGATAGTAATTTCATTTCCTTTGGAAAAATACCCAGAAATTGGATTGCTGGATCATATGGTAGTTCTATTTTTAATCTTTTTCCATATTGGCTGTTCCAATTTACATTCCCATCAACAGTGCCTTAAGGGTTCCCTTTGCCTCACATCCTTGCCAACATTTGTTATTTTTTGTCTTTTTGACAATAACCATTCTAATAGGTGTGAGATGTTTTCTCATTGTGTTTTGACTTGGGTTTCCCTGACGATTAGTGATGTTGAGCACCTTTTTATGTACCTGTTGGCCATTTATATGTCTTCTATAAAAAATGTCTATTCGAATTCTTTTTTCCATTTTTAATTGGATTATTTGTGAGGTTTTCTTCCTGCTACTATTTTATATATTTTAGTTATCAAATATATAGTTTGCAAATATTTCTTTCCATTTTGTTAGTTGCATTTTCATTTTATTGATTGTTTATTTTGCTGTGCAGAACTTCTTTAGTTTGATGTAGTTCTACTTCTTGATTTTTGTTTTTGTTGCTGGTGTTTTTGGTGTTATATCCAAAAACTGCTTACCAAGGCTAATGTCAAGGAGC